AAGAATCCCCCTCGTCCTCACGTACCACCCCACCAACCTCCGGATCCAACGCATCATCCTCCGACACTTCCGCCATCTGCAATCCGATCCCACCACCAAAGACATCTTTCCCTCCCCACCCTTATCTGCTTTCCGGAGGGACCACTCTCTCCGTGACTCCCTTGTCCGCTCCACACTCCCCTCCAGCCCCACCACACCCGGCACTTTTCCCTGCAACCGCAGGAAGTGCTACACCTACCCCCATACGTCCTCCCTCACCCCCATCCCAGGCCCCAAGAAGACTTTCCACATCAAGCAGATGTTCACCTGCACATCTGCCAATGGGGTATACTGCATCCGCTGTACCCAGAGTGGCCTCCTCTACATCGGGGAAACCAAGCGGAGGCTCGGGGACCGCTTTGCAGAACACCTTTGCACCTCCCAGTCGCGAACCATTTCAACTCCCCCTCCCATTCCTCAGACGACATGTCCATCCTGGGCCTCCTGCAGTGCCACAACGATGCCACCCGAAGGTCGCAGGAACAGCAACTCATATTCCGCTTGGGAACCCTGCAGCCCAATGGTATCAATGTGGATTTCACAATCTTCAAAATCTCCCCTCCCTCTACCGCATCCCAAAACCAGTCCAGCTCGTCCCCGCCTCCCTAACTTGTTCTTCATCCCACCTATCCCCTCCTCCCACCTCAAGCCGCATCCCCATCTCCTACCTACTAACGTCATCCCGCCCCCTTGACCTGTCCGTCCTCCCTGGACTGACCTATCCCCTCCCTAACTCCCCACCTACACTCACTTTTACTGGCTCCATCCCCACCTCTTCGACCTGTTTGTTTCCTCTCCACCTATCCTCTCCTCCATCCATCTTCTATCCGCCTCCCACTCTCTCCCTATTTATTTCAGAACCCCCTTCCCCTCCCCCTTTTCTGATGAAGGGTCTAGGCCCGAAACGTCAGCCTTTCTGCTCCTATGATGCTGCTTGGCCTGCTGTGTTCATCCAGCCCTGCACCTTGTTGTCTCGGATTCTCCAGCATCTGCAGTTCCTACTATCTCAGAAACAGAATCCAGACAGGTTACCTTTCTGAAAGAAATATGTAATTACTACAAGTTTGCATCCAGACAAAAAAAAATTCAAGGAAATTGGTTACTCCTCTAGTTTAAATGGACAGACCAAGCAATATATTTGACAGAAATCATGACAACCCGGTCAATTTGGATACGAGCTCTATAATAGACCCCGATTAACAAAAAACAACTTTGACTTATACAAAACCTTTAATATAGTAAAGCATCCCAAGGCATTTCACAGAAGTGATTAAACAACGGGAACTTAGTGAGCTTCATACAATGGAGCACAACATCAATAAACATATTGGTTTAACTGGTAATTAAGACCATATTACCCAATTATTCTTCATGCCAAAATATAAACATTCTATTGTTTAATTTGCTGGCCAGAAATTAATTGCCAGGATAATGATGGCCTTTTCTTTGAGTTTGGAGAGTGGGGCTTCATTTCTTTAAAAATGAGTTGTTGGCTTGATTGAGTTATGTTTTGTAAATAAACTACAATAGCATGCTGGCTTTGAAGTTGTGTGACCTGTATAAATAACAAATAACTTATTTTAAATAGCCCATTCACAGGACCAGGCGCGAATAAAAATTGGACCTTTGTACAAAGACAGAGTTTTCTGTAAAAGCAAAATACTGAGGAGGTTAACAAATCAGAAGTAAAAGCATCAAGCCAGGTAGCATCCCTGGAGAGAGAGAGACAGGGTTAATATTTTAAGTCAATGTCCTTTCACAGAAGTAAACATTCCACAAAAAGATAATTTGTTCCCGAGATACAGGATTACTAACAAGGCCAGTTTTTGTTGTCCATCCCTAATTATTCGAGAAAATACTGGGAAGCTACCTTATTGAACTGCTACAGTCCATAGGTGGGATAGATACACTCACAATGCTGTCAGGGAGAGAGCTCCAGGATGATCCCCCAGAGAAAATGCTTGGGGAATTTGTAGGTGGTGGTTTTCCCATGTGCCTGCTGCCATTGTCCTCCAGGTCTTAGAGGTCACAGGTTTGGAAGATGCTATTGAAGGAGCCTGGGGGCCTTGCTACAGTGCATCCTGTGCATGGCAGATACCGGTGCTCCTGTTACCAGTGGTGAAAACAGTGACTGTTTAAGTTGATGTATGGCGTATCAGATGAGCAACTACCTTATCTTGGATGATACTGAGCCTCTTGGACACTAGTGAAACTGCACTCATCAGAAAAGTGAAGAATATTCTATTGTGTACTTTGTAGATGGTGGACAGGCTTTGGGGATTGAGGTGATGCAACTCACCATGGAAATCCAACTCTTTTACCTGCTGTTATAGCCAAATGGCTTCTTTTTTAACATGGCTTGTGAAGTTAAGGTTCTGGTCATTGCTAATCCAGCTAGGATGATGGTAAGGAAATCAGCAATGGTAATGCAAGTAACTTTCAGAGATGTTAGCTTGTTGGAAAGGGTCATTGCCTGGCATGTGTCACAACTGTCATTTTCCAATTATCATCCCAAGCCTGAATACTGTCTTGGTCTTGCTGCATGCTTCAGTACTGGATCAACAAGGTGTTGTAAACAATGATTAAACTTTGTCACTTCTGACCTTACGCTGGAGGGAAGACCTTGATGAAATAGTTGAAGATGGTTAGGCCTAAAGAACTGCAGTGATGTCAAACTTTAAAGAACCTATAAGGTGCCTGTAGTGCATTTAATCTGCTTTATATCTGTACTTTAGAGTCAGACTATAACTCACACACAATCTCACTGTAAGAAAATTTGGATGAATATTTGATGCAGACATCAGCACAAAGCTATGGAAAGGCAATGAGGGAAGGGGAGTTGTAGGAGTGTAAGGTAAGGAGGGGAAAGGAAAAACATGGGAGGCAAAGAGAAACATGAAGGTGACAATGCTAAGTGGAGGCTGTGAGGGGGTATTTATGAAGGGGGTGAGTTGATGTTGGGCACGAGTGTGATCAATGTGATGAAAGTGATGGTGGGTGATGATAATGATGGGTGCTGGATTAAAATTAGAGGTAGGGTTACTTTGGGGTGATGTTAAGAGTGATAGTGATGATAATGACAGTGTTGACTGAAGTGAGGTTGGTGGTGAGTGAAGATGTTGTAGTGATGGCCGGTGAAATGCTCATGGGTGTTGTCGGTGTAGGGTGATAGTGATGAGAAAGGAGATGATGGTGATGTTGGCAAGGGCAATGGATAACGATGGTGATAGAGATGGAGTTCACGATGGACATTTTGGTTGATGTCAGAGTGGGGCGAGGTGATTGGTAGTGGAGCGATAAGTGAGGATTAAGGTTATGAGTAAGATTGCTGTTAAGGGAATGGTGGGGGGATGGTATTGTGGTGTTAATGATGGGGCCGACAAGGGATAATGTGGCCAGTGGGAGTGCTGATGTGTGGGTCTCCCCTCCCTCCCCCATCATTCCATTTCCCCCCCATCCCTCTCTCTCCCCCCCCACTCCCCCTCCATTCCTTCCCTCCCCCCACTCTCTCCTCCCCTCCCTCACCCCCTCCCTCCGCCATTCCCTCCACCCTCTCCCACCCACTCCCCCCATTCCACCCACTCTCTCCTCTCCTCCCTCACCCTCTCCCACCCACTCCCCCCATTCCATCCATCCATCCACCCACACTCTCTCTCTCTCTCTCTCTCTCTCCCTTCACTCCGCCGTCGGCTCCATAGCAACCGGTCGCGTACCAGAGCCGCTGGGCCCGCGCTGCCCTCAAGCGCCGAGAAAGCCGCCCCCATGAACGTGCTCCCGCTCCTCGGACACGGCCACTTGCACTTTAACAGCTTCCAGGATTATAACAAAAAATACACAAAATAAATGGAACTAAAATCACTTCCGGCGCCACAATTCAAGCGGAGCGGCCTCTCCTCCCGCCCCTCTACACCTCTCACACTATTCGATTGGCTCATAATGCCAACCATTTGGATGGCTGTCGGTTTTCGATTGGCTTCTCTGGCCGTCATTCAAATATGTGAGTGTCCCGCCTCCCGGTAGTGTAAACAATGCGCAGGCGCACCGCTGCCGCTGCGCCTACCGGGAGTTGTAGTTTTTCCAGTTCAGACAAATTGCAGTCTGGAGAGAATTCGGGGATACAAAACTCAGGGGCAAAGGCATTTCAATACCTGTGGCTCCAGAACTATCTCTCCGAGCCCTATTGCAAGCAAATATGTTCTAAGTAAAAATTACAATTCAAAGCGTTTGGATTGAGAGATTTATTTTGATACATCCCTCTGTGTGCAATAGCAGACTGTGCTCATTTCCAGATTTTCTTTCTGTGTGGGATGCAGAGAAAAGCACCAGAAGGAGACACTTGGGTGCACAGCAGAGTTTCCAATCATTAACAGCAATAAGATTAGAAACTACAACACCCAGAGGGCTTTATCAACCTTGCTCCCTCTGCTTTTCCCAGCGTCATTCCTGTATTTTACTGTATGTACAATAGTTCTTCCGTTGGAGTGGGGAAGCAGAGAGACAGTAGGAAGATTGTTCAGGCTCTGCTGATGCTGTCTCTACCGAAACCCATCACCATTTATTCCATGAAGCATCGATCCACAACCTCAAATTGTGGAGTGATGAACAATAATGGCATTTTCTACAGCTTTCCAGACTCTCCACGAAGATCCATTCATGTAAATCAGGAATGAACCTTTCACTCCCTGCCTTTTTTTTAAATGCCGTTCCTTTTAAACCCATCAATGAAGCATCTGACGCCGAGTCTTTGCTTTTCCCCCACATGTCTCAATGTAGTGCGAGAGGGGGTTAAATAAATATATTTTGCAGGCAGCTGCTGTGCAATCGCGCTTGTCTTTTCTTTCTAAATAAAAGAAAGGGAAGAAAGTATTTCGAAATGAATTTTTGTCCCCTTTCTCGTTTTATGCTGTTGCTTTGCTCTTTGATTGAATGGTTGTATTGCAATGGAGAGCCGTCAGGGATCAAGGTCCCTCTGAAAAATGATATCGGGATCCCCAGCAGGTTGCCCAGAGCTGCCGATGAGACTGGCCGGAGACAAAGTATCAATTTTATGGATATGGTTGATAATCTGAGAGGGAAATCTGGACAGGGATATTATGTGGAGATGACAATAGGAACACCCGCTCAGAAGGTAAGAGTGGAGTGGTATTTAATATATTAATGATGTATTAAATTCATGTATCTATGCATGTATGTATTGACATCGATAATTACGTTTGTTCTGCACTGTAAATTGTATCTAAGAATAATGACAATACCCGGTATCAAAATACAGTAACAATGTTGGCTATTTTTAATATATTAGTATAACAATTCATTTATACAGGCATCAGAAAACTATTTGTTTTACATTTCTTTCAATTTTACAGAGGACTTTCTTTTATTTTGAAAGTAGCATATTTAGTGCTAGCCTGGTTTCGAATAAAAGGTGCCACTTAAATGTGCAAAAGGTGTTTGTCCAATCTTTTTCTACGGCAGCGTGGGAGAACCTGCTTGGGAACGCATCACTGAGTCACTTCCACGTAAAGTCTCCCGTGACAAATACAATCTACCAAAATGCAATGTTCTTTCTTCTTAAATATTTTGTTTTGTTTCCTTAAAAGATTTGTCACTTATTCAAGAAAATACCCCTTTAATTGGAAGGCTTCTTCTTCGAAACCATCATAAAATTGACAAATAGATTTGGGAATAATTACACTTCAGTTCCACCCAAAATCAATGTTTGTACTGAGCCAGAAAGCAAGCTAATTTCCATTTGTCTTCAGATGCAAAGAGGATTTCTTCCATTTGATGGAAAAATTCTTTCGTAAGACTCCTTGGAAATGAGTGTAAAACTAAAACAAAGATTCAGATTGGGTAAGAGGGATTTGTTTCTCTGATGGTTCAGGTGGTAAGCATATTATCCACTGCAGAATTCAGCCACATATATCAAAAACCAGGTTTGATCACTTGCTACACTTACTATTCTAGGGTCATACCACAAGGCCTCAGGGCTTCTGTGCGGGCAAAAGAGTAAAGAAATCAGCCAGAATTCCCATTACTCATATCTCTGCAGTAACTTCGGCTGGTGAGTGATGGAGGGCAAATGCTAGCTGGGTTATGCCTTAGTGGGACCCATTATTTAGCTTCAAATATTAATTTTAATCCTGCTGTTTGTTTTTGGTATAATTTTAATTAATAATTTCTAGAGGGCATTTTTTTAATCTTCTGCATCTCTTTTTAATCTTCTGCATCTCTTTTAAATCAACTTAGAGATCCGCTTTACTCATTTTCTAATAAGAAGTTATCGATCTGACACATTGTATCAGTCTTTTAAACAGTTTACAATCAAAGAATGTTCTTGCGTTGATTTTTGTTCATTCAGGAGGGAGGTTAGTTTTAGGACTATTCATGTAGGCATTGCTGTAAGTCATAAATTTAACACTACAGTATTTATGTCTGGAAAACCTCTCAGTGATAGTGAACAGAAGTTTTGGTCCAGTAGTTTTGACTTTAATCCATAACCTTTGTTCAGTTTAGTTGATATTAAACCGAGGACAGTTCACTCAATCATTTTAGAATAATATTGCAAAATGTTGACTCGTTCAGTTTTGCTGAATGGCAAAATTGAGAATCACCTTTAAAGTCATGATTGTAAGTCAAATTATTGTCTTCCTTGTGTTTCTTTTGGACAAGAAGAGGTAATACATCATAGCATTGTCCTTTTATGACTGGTTTTTGCTTGAATCTAACCAAGATCAATGGAATAAAATAATAGTCATAGAGTTGTACAGCACAGAAACAGACTTTTCAGTCCAACTCGTCCATGCCGAACAAATATCCTAAATTGATCTGGTTCCATTTGCCAGCATTTGTCCCATATTCCTCTAAACCCTTCCTACTCATATACCCATCCAGATGCCTTTTAAATGTTGTAATTGTACCTGCCTCCACCACCTCCTCTGGCAGCTCATTGCAGGCATGCACAACCGTCTGTGTGAAAAAGTTGCCCCTTAGATCCCTTTTAAATCTTTCCCCTCTCACCTTTAACCTATGCCCTCTAGTTTTGAACTCCCCTACCCTGGGAGAAAGACCTTGGCTATTCATCCTATCCATCCCCCTCATGATTTTATAAATTTCTATAAAGTCACTCCTCAGCTTCCAACGTTCCACGGAAAATAGCACCAGCCTACTCAGCCTCTCCCTGTAGCTCCAACCCTGGCAACATCCTTATAAATCTTTTCTGAACCCTTTCAAGTTTCACAGCATCTTTCCTGTAGCAGGGCGGCCAGAATTCTTCACACTATCTTCTAGGGATTCCACATGAAATGAATTTGTAAAATCTTAACCAACAGGAACATAAAAATGAGGAGCAGGAGTCGGCCATTCAGCCCCTCAAGTTTACTCCACAATTTGATGTGATCATGGCTGATCTCCTCTCGGCCTCAACTCGATATTCCTGCCTACTCCTATAACCCTTCAAACTGTTGACTAATTAGACATCTGTTTATTTCCTCCTTAAATTTACCCAATGTCCTAGCATCCACCATACTCTGGGATAGTGAATTACAGAGATTCACCACCCTTTGAGAGAAGTAACTTCTCCTCATTTCTATGTTAAATCTGCTATTGCTTAATCTAAAACTATGACCTCTTGTTCTAGACTGCCCGGTTCTTTGTCTATTTTGTCAGTCCCCTGAAGTTAATGCAGGTTATTCGTCCCTCAACTGCCCAAAACCTTTTGTCCGTCTACAAGGCACAAGTCGGGAGTGTGATGAAATACTCCCCAATTGCCTAGATGAGTGCAGCCCCAACAACCCTCTTGAGGCTTAACACCATCCAGAACAAAGCAGCCTGCTTAATAGGCACTGTATCTATCACTTTCAACATTTACTCCTGTCACCACATATGCACCGAGGCAGCAGTGTATGCCATCTACAAGATGGAATGCTGTAAATCACTAATGCTTCTTCAATAGTTCCTTCCAAACTTGTGACCCCTACCATCTAGAAAGACAACAGCAGATCCATGGGTATACACTACCTGCAAGTTCCTGTCTAAGTCTCACACCATCCTGTCTTGGAAATATAGTGGTGTACCTTCACTGTCAAATTCCTGGAACTCCTTCCCTGGACATACACCGCAGAGATTGCAGCATGTTTTGGAGGCAGCTCCCAGCACCATTTCAAGGTCATTTAGGGATGGGCAACAAATGTTGGCCTTGCCAGTGATGCCTACATCCCATGAATAAATTAGAAGTTTAAACTAAATCCTATTCTAACATGCATGACAGAAGAATCACAGAAATCTTTGGGCCCATCCTACGAGCACTGGCTGTTTAAATGAGCAGTTTATTTTCAGCCTTCTGCCTACAATCTCACAGAATCTTAATTTATAGACAATAGTGTAATTCCATATTGAATGCTTCAATGGAATGTGCCTCCACCCCATTGTCAGGCAGTGCATTCCACACCTTACCACTCACTGTGTGACAAAGCTTTTCCCCATTTCACCTTGGTTTCTCTTTCTTTAAATCTTGCCCTCTTATTCTCAATCATTTCATGAATTCCCTACTTGCTCTGTCTAGAACCTTTCTGAAATTGAGTGTTCCACACCAATATCACCAGTTTGGAAGTAGAGCATGTGTATACGCCCCACTGTCCATTGCGTATTCCAATGAGAATTCTGCCTCGATTGGTAGCAAACAACGACAACATACTAATGGTGGGAATTTCCATGAAAATGGACGCTTCTGTCTATCATGTGCCATGTCTTGGAGCCCTCCCACTAATGCCGGAACTACGTAAAGGCAACACAAAGTTGAAAGGGAGGAAGACGTGATTGGTGATGCATGATGAAAAGTAACATTAATGAAGAAAAAGCGGGAACTGATGCAAAGCAAAATTGGTGGTGTAGTGGACAGTGAAGAAGGTTACCTCAGAGTACAACAGGACCTTAATCAGATGGGCAAATGAGCCAAGGAATGGCAGATGGAGTTTAATTTAAATAAATGTAAGGTGCTGCATTTAGTAGGGTAGATCAGGGCAGGGCTTATACACTTAATGGTAAGGTCCTGGGGAGTGTTGCGAACAAAGAGGTCTTGGAGTGCACGTTCATAGTTCCTTGAAAGTGGAGTCGCAGGTAGACAGGGGGTTATTGAGAAAGGCTATAGGAAAGATGTTAAAGGAGCATCACAGGCTGAGGGGTGACCTTATAGAGGTTTATAAAATCATGAAGGACATGAATAGGGTGAATAACCAAGGTCTTTTCCCCAGTGTAGAGGAGTCTAAAACTAGAAGACGTAGGTTTAAGGTTAGAGGGGAGCAATTTAAAATGGACCTAAAGGGCAACTTTTTCACGCAGTTGGTGCTACATGTTTGGAATGAGCTGCCGGAGGAAGTGGTAGAGGCTGGTACAATTACAACATTTAAAAGGCATCTGGATGGGTACATGGATAGGAATGGTTTAGAGGGATATGGGCCAAATGCTGAAAAATAGGAGTAGATTAATTTAGGATATCTGGTCGGCATGGACAAGTTCAGCCGATGCATCAGTTTCCATGCTGTACATCTCTATGACTCCAGGAGTCAGCTATGCTGGGAGGTAAAAATGCCAACCTGAAAAGAAGAATTTCAACAGTAGAAAGGAATTTAAATTGATGATGCAGTATTGTGCCAGCTGGACTGATGACACTGGAGCTCCCCAGCTCGAAGAAGAGTTATGTCAGACTTGAAATGTTAACTCTGCTTCTCCCTCCACAGTTGCTGCCAGACCCACTGACTTTCTCCAACACTTTCTGGTTTTACTTTAGGTGTTCCCGGTCCAGTCTGCTCACTGAATGCTATTGACAATATTTGCTGCCATCTTGAACCTACAATGCAATCCTCCAGCATCGTTTTAAGTAGTAGCATCAATCATGACTCAATGCATAACTGAAGCTCTGTGATCAATCTAATTCAATTTCCTCTGCATCTTCTAAAAATCAACCTCCTCGATATCGTTTCACTGCATAAAAGACTTTAACCATTTGCATCATTTCAAAGAATTAGCTGAACTTCCAGAAGTCAACCTGTTTACAGCAAATAAATATTCATTAGTCATAGATTTCTGTGTGACCTTTCAGAGCACAGAACTGTATGTCCTCTCAGAGGT